TAGGTGCAGCCACTGAGAAGGCACGACTTGGGGATCCAATGAGATGAGGTTGTTTAATAAAAGGGACCCGGAGCATGCCCTCTCTACTAGAGCTGGTGGGGTGGGCAGAAACACTAGGAGAAAGGCAGTCCTGGAAGTAGCCTGGCCCTATGCCATGAAGGGCTTTTTGGTGATGACCAGCACCTTGAATGGCATCCAGAAGCCTATTGGGAGCCAGTGCAGCTTGCAGAGCAGCAGTTACATGGGTAATGAGAAATGCCAAAAACTGCCTGCATTGCTGTATTCTGGGCCAGCTGCAGTTTCCAAGTGCTCTTCAAGGGCAGCCCCATGTAGATACATTACAGTAATCCAAATGGGAGGTGACTAAGGCAAGATCACCATGAGCATCACTGATTCTTGACAAATTCTGAAAAATAATCGTCTGTTCTTTATTTTTGGGTTTTACTATTTATCTTTCAAAGCATTCTTTTTTCTTCTCTGTACAAATGGGTTTTTTACTTTTAATGTAGATACATTACAGTAATCCAAATGGGAGGTGACTAAGGCAAGATCACCATGAGCATCACTGATTCTTGACAAATTCTGAAAAATAATCTTCTGTTCTTTATTTTTGGGTTTTACTATTTATCTTTCAAATCATTGTTTTTTCTTCTCTGTACAAATGTGTTTTTTACTTTTAAGGTTGATCTTGGATCATAAATAAAACTGAATAATTTGAAAAGAAAAAGAATGCAGTCAAATTTAAAAGAAGCTTGACATGTTCTAAGAACTGACAAAAAGCAAGTGTGCAACTTGTGTGAATTGTCCTTTTGCCCTTCCTGATTGACCGATTGTAGAAGTTCATGAGTAACTAGTAGCTTATTCTTACCCAAACCTCTATCTAGGTGTATTTGTTTTCTGAGTCACGGCAGGGTAGATTTGTATATTATTTTGATGGAGAAACATTTTTAGAAGAGTCAAATAACTAATTACCATGGAAAATCAACTTACTGCTCTGACATTCTACCTAGAACTGAGACTCGTCCCAACTAATTTAGAAACCTAAGACTGTGAAGAGATCTGAGAAGGAAAGTTACAGTACAGAAGACAAAATCAATATGTAATAGATCCCACTTGTGTGATCCTGTGTGGCCTATGATATCAAAAGAAATGAAAATCCTTAATGTAAAATGTGTAGGAGAACAGGGATTCCGAGACCAGTGTAATTTCTCCTGGTGCTATCTGTGATGTCATGATTCCAAAAGAGTTAGATCTGATTTCTATTAGTTAACACCGTGTAATGTTTAAGCAACCCATTGGCAGTATTATTATCGCATTATAATGATAAAGATTGGCTTTTATATTATTGGGAGTCTTGTGTATTGGACTCAGTCAAAGCTGGTTGGAAACCCTTTTCTCTATGGAGATAGTTATTCCTGCAAAAGTAGGGCTGCTAGTTTCCCTGGCTTCATAGCACATAAAAAATAATAATATGTAATTTCCCACATTGTTGCTCCAGAAAGTTGCACAGATTCTAAATATGTGTGCATGACATACCTTATGCATATTAATAATGTTACGCTTCTCCTCTGCAGAAGGGAAACCTGCCCACGACTGAAGTGTAACTAATGATGCAAAGCTTTTTGGAAGAGTGTGATTGTTTTCCCTTCTTCCCATGTGTTTTTGTTCTGACCCTCTTTGTATGTATGTGTATGAGTGTGTAACTGTTTTTACTCTGCTAACCTGGTTCCTGTCTCTGGTTTTTTGGGTGTTGCTGTTTGTGCCGTCGCCATGTGTTCGCTTGCATGCAGTTGAGGAAGGGCCCTCCTGTGCCGCCACCTCCAAAACTCACTCCATCCAAGGAGATGAAGCAGGAGAACATCATCAACCTGTTTGATGACAATTTTGTCCCAGAGATCAGTGTGACAACCCCCTCACAGGTTAGCTTCTCCTTCTTCCCTGCCCTCTCTTGTCCTCTCTTCTGTCTTTTTCACCTTCATTTCCCCCCGTTTTCCTTACTAGAGGTGTCAGGCCAAGAAAACTGTTCAGGGGGAAAGCAAAGTCAAAGGGATATGAACTGGGCCAAAGGAATAGTGAGTTTCACCCCCAAAGAATTGGTCTGGAATCTTGATCTGAAACTGAATGGAGAAGAAAGCATATTGTACCGAGAGCACCCACTGTCTTCCTTGGTGTCCTTCAATATGATTTCCGAGCTAAATAGGAGAAGTGGGTGGGAGGGAAGCGGAATGCCAAAAGGCACAGAAAACATTGTGCCTAAGAGCACAGAGTTTTAAGCCCCCCTCCCACCAAATGACCCCGGCACTCTAGCCACTCTATAAGCAGGAGTTCTCATACAATGAATTGGAAACCCCAGGAGGCTGTAAGCAACTTGAGCACGTTTCCTTCTTTAAGGCCTGCCCACACAAAGAGCACTGTCAAAATTCACCCTGGGCTTCGCTCCTCGTTTTGCCTGCACAAATTTGCAGGGGACAATTACAAGATGGCAGTGGTTGATTAATTAAAATTTAATTATTAAAGTGCTATGTTTATCTCTTCCTAAAAGGAAGTTATTATTTTTATTTATGGTGAGGGTCATGCAGATTTGTTTATCGTTTTATGGAGCTGTGGTACCACAATGTTTGAAAATCCCTGACACAATGAAGGCCTACTTCTGGACATTTAACTCTAAATCTAAAAGAATGGATTTGAATAGTGGGAATTGGAGCCCCAAACATGGGCTTCCCACCTGCTTGATTCCCTTTAAATGATAGTGCTGGTGAGATCATTTTTTGCTGTTATTTTTAAAAGATATTCTTAGCTAATATATGTGCAGGGGCTATGCCTTTTTAAAGGCTCGTGCAAGAGTAATCTGAAGTTTCATTGTGTTTTTAACAGCCTCCTTTGCTTTTGTCCAGCTCAAGTGTGGGCTGGCTTGTCCTTCTTGACAATTACCTTACATGATAAATGTCCGCTCCACCAATGGTTTTAGGAGCTTTGGGATTATACTGAGATAGGTCATTCCCAATGACTTGCATTTCATTATTTTTACAAATTGTTAGCATTCACCAGGCTTCAGAATCCCATGACCTCCCAAGCTAATCCCTGAAAACAAATTTGGTGGAGGCTGAGAGACTTACTTGAAAAATAGGTGAACCTTTTTTTCCCAGAGATGACTCAACTCTAGACCCTATGATAAGATTAAAAAGCAGCCTGATCAGTTTTCTGGCTCCATCCTTACAACTTTTGTCATTGTCATCACCATCATTGTGATAAATCCTTTTTTTTTTTAATATTCATAAAAAGCATTCAGTGGCACCTCTAGAATGTGTGTTTCCTGACTCCATTCTTCCTTCCCTACCTCAGCATGGTGGCCTGCGGCTTTTACCTCTTCCTCCTGTTCGACGACCGAAACTTTGCGTGGAGGGCCTGAAATTGGGAGAAAAGGCAAGTGTAGGTCTCAGGTTACCAATGTGATGGGACCACCCCACAGAGGCATATGGACATTGCATATAGCATTCAATAGCTTGGTGGATTAGAATTTCCTTTTCACTCTGGAATAGAAAGCGAGATGCAAACTGGCTATTTAGCAAGTTTTCAGTCTTTTTTTTGGTAAAACTTTAGATTTCAGTATAAGACAAAGAGTAATGTGGAATCATCATGAGATAACACAATGAGCACTGGATAATAAACAGAGACTCTTCAGACTCAATTGGGAATCCCCAGAAGAAAGGAAAAGTGACCAGGCCAGCTTCTAATTATCTCTTAGTTGGGCCTTGGTTTTAGTGGGTAAGGATCACCTGTACATGAAAAAACAAAGGGAAAAGAGAATAACTTATTTCTCAACAATTATTTTGTAATATAAGATAGAAGACAATGGCAGCAGCTATATTCAAGCATGATCAGAAGTTTATCATTTACATTTATTTTCATTATATAATAAAACTGCACAGTATTTGGAAGAATGCCTGTAAAGCAAGGATAAGTGAATTGGTGCCCTCCAGGTGTTTTTAGCCTCACCTCCCATTAAATCCAGTTACCATGTTCAATTGGGAAAATGTTTATGGGAGTTCTGGTCAAAAACATTACCAGGAATCTGTCACTGATGGCCAGAAAGGTTAGTTCAAATTATAAATAAACAGTGAACAGGTATACAGGAGCGAGAGAAAGACATCCCACCCTACTGTACCCTTTGGCTTCAAGTAGCAGATTTTGAATCCTCTGATTTAACAGAGATTTTTTTTAATGAGATGGGGAAAATAGATACCATTTAATTTGCCTGCTAGTTCCAAAATGTTAGAAGATTCTGTTCTCTGTTTTAAAAAAAACCCGTTCTGAAACTGCTGTAAGCATAGTAGTTGGGAAAAGTTTTAGATAATGTGTCTGCCTCTTTTTCTCTTGTGAACCAAATAGCTTTTGAAATTATGGGGATTTAGAGTGGGGAAAAGACATCAGAAAAAAACAAAACAAAACATCTTCTGGAATGCTATTTCTCCAATCCTTAAAGTAGATGCAGCTGTACAAAGATGCTAATCCATTGCCCTGAAAGACTCTCATATGGTTAGAGTAAATATGTCAGGTCAAGTGTTGTCCTCCGTGACAGACAGAAGACAGATTTATGGCTGTGCATTAAACATACAAGCAAGCATTGCTATTTTATTTTTGGAGGCTGAAGAATAGACAATTTGAACCTTATGGGATTTTTTTTTTTTTGACAGAACTGCCTCCACGCAGGAATTCCAGTTATAAAACTTGAATATGCTTTAATGTTTGAGAAAGCCGTGGGCCACTGAGCAATCTTCCATCCTTGTCTGCACCTATCCTTTCCCTGTAGCATGCCTCAAGCATTTTTTATGCCATGTTTTGTATTGTACGTTTCTGTGTAAAACACTTGCATAAACAGACAATTCTGACTGGGACAGGTTCAGAGTACAGGATACCTGAACTGGAGAGTATATTTAGAAAACAGCTTGAATTTTCAATGGACAAATTTGTTCCTAGAGCAGCAACTGGAGGTGGGGAGGAGGAGGAGGGATAGATATGGACACGTTTCTATTTTTAGTGGGGTCAATTATTTAGGAAGATAGAGAAAATTATCAAGGAAGAAGACTCTTCAACATCTGGGGCAAATGACAGGTAAGATTCCAGCATGGCTATGACCTCATTTTAAAATGTTATTTCATGTACATGAAGCTCAAAAATCAGACCTTACTTCCAAGGAAACCTTTGTCAGAACTCTTTAGGTGGAAAATACCGGTTAACTGAATGTTTTATGCTTATATTGTGAAGTTGAAGGAACAGGAACCATCTCTGTTGAATTAATCAGTGGATTTTTTTTTCTTTTTATAAAGAAAGTAAAAATTACAGTAATATGCAATATAATAGACTGTTTTTGCCTGAATTAATCAGTGGGTTTTTTTCTTCTTTTTATAAAGGAAGTAAAAATTTAAAAAATACAGTAATATGCAATATAATAGACTGTTTTTGCCTGAAATATGCATATACAGTACCAGATTGCTTTAGTTTAGAAACACCAGATATCCTATTTACTCTGTTTGAAAACCAGAGTAGTTTTATTTACCAGATATTTCCTCTGTTTGAAAAAACGTTTTGCTATCACAACCCAGTTTAATAAGAAAAAAATCATTATGTTGAGCAGGGCCAGAAGGTCAAGTTTTAATGTCAAGGAAATTACTTAAATAGTAGAGATTTGGTGAAATCTGTTGACAGAATTTCTTTATCATCCAGTAGGAATTAGGAAATGATTCATTTTTTTTAATGACATAAGGGAATATTATGAATATGCTGTTTAATAATGCCACTTGGTAAGATTATATGATCTGCTTGACAATAAGAGAATGCTAGTGTTTCTGTCTTGCTTGCATGCAATGTATCTTGAATGTTTAAGATAGCCCGTAATTTATTATTATTGAAAAATAACAGCCTAGTAAGCAATATGTTGTATTGTGGCAGAATAACAAAGAAATAAATTAGCAGAGAGAGGTTCTAAAGAAAGAAAAAGATGGTGGTACAGAAATGTTTTGAGACTAAATTAGAGGTTTTCACCGAAAGTGCTATACAAACCAGTTTTTTAAGATAACCAGGGACGTGGTATCAATACAACCGTTGTCCTGGAAATTGTAGGCCCACCATAAGATTTGAGGCAGTGAATTCTGAGAGAGCCACAGTCTTTGGATGGATGGATGGAACTTGAAATTGATCTGTTAATAGGCTGCCTGGGACAGTGGTAGAATAAATGCAGTGAATGGGCTTTGTTAAAATGTTAATACTTGAATTTCATGACCCACTGTCTGCAGAAGTGTTAAGCACATTATGACAATAGACATATAGGAATATACATTTTATACATAATCTTTAGCACTTTCACGTTTCGGATAACATCTTCCGCATGCCATCCATCTTTTTTAACTGTCTAACCAGCAATACTGATTTTTTTTCCTTTAATGCTGCCAAGTTTGATGCCCCTGGGTCCTTCCAAGAGGGAGCTAGCCTATTGGATCTGGATTTTGATCCCATTAAAGCAAATAACAGCCTTGTAGGGAAGTCGCCCACGCCTGCTACCCAGGTTGGTTTATCATTGTCATTCCTTAACTCCGTGAATTATCAGGCAATAAAGACCTCATTGGTTCTTACGGGGAGGACTGTGTGGTGTGACAAATGAACTCTTGGTGATTAAAACAAATATTCAAGAGTTGCATAAATCTTGTTGATCAGTAGTAACATCTGGTGTTTATTTAATGTATTTAAGAGCTCCATATCCACTATTCCTTAAAATAATCCTACCTTGTACAGCAGACAGTGCAAGGGGTTTGGGAGAGGAATAATAGTTTGCCTTTAGCTAAGCTGCAATACTAGTCACTGCACATTACTAGCTCTGAGCACTTGTAGCAAATTTTGACAGGTTCTTCTGTGATCTTGGGATAACAGATAGGACATTACAGTGGCTGTTTTCATTCCCAGAATTGATGTCCTGTTCTCTGATAGCCTGATGGGAGCGGGCCCTGCTGGGAAGGTGGACAGCTGTTGTTATCAGTGTTACATTGCCAGAAAGTCTCAAAATGGGGCATTCTATGAGCTAGATGGAGACAGTACAGAGGAACTATTTTTGTGTCTACGGGACACAGGTCCATTAGTTATGACCAGGAGTGAAAAAACTCTGGGAAAAATAAAATAGGATGACACATTTCTTCTGCCGTGGCCCATACGACATGGCAAGACACTGAGTAAGACAGTACCTCCACCTTATTGCTCCTACATTCTCCCACTTACAATTTAATCTGTGAATTCATGGCACACTCACTGTGCAGCTCCAAATAAGTTAGATAACAGCTGTTTGCTGTATATATTTAGTGGTACTACATAAAGGAAGGGCATTAAGGAACTCAGTTTCCTCAAACAGGTGAAGTACAGGTAGTTCTCATTTAGCAACTGCCTTGGATAGCAACTGTTTGCAAATTCAGTGGTAGTAAACGGTAATAAAAATTCATTTTTTGACCAGCGCAGGCATTTATGGCAACAAAAGCCTTCAGTGTGAAACTTATTAAGGTCTGGTCAGTTTCAGACAGCAGCTGTGAGCCACCAGAGGGTTCTAATCAACTAAGTAAGGTCACAAAGCTGAGCTTGTTAAGTTGCAGTTAGCGCTTTTTAGGGACACACTGTGCATGGAGAAAAGCAGTTCAGGAACAGATTGCTTGTTTAAACAATCCCTCCACCCTGCAAGGGGGCAAAAAAAAAAAAGGAAAAAATGGGTCAGGCACAGGACACTGTATGAGAGAACTTTATCTGATTGAGAGGGCAGGAGCCAGCGATCTTTGTAGTGTCTGTCTCTCAATCTCAGTCATGTGATTTGCTTAGTGATCATTTTGCTGGAACCATTTACAGTCACTAAACGAGGACTACCTCTACTTTAGAATCAGCACATAATGAAAGATTGTCATTATGTTCCTTCCAGATTGCTTTATGCAGTAAACTCTGTGAAGTTCATAGCATATTCCAATCACTGGACCATGAGATGTAGATTAGTAATCAGGCATACCATAAAGTATTAGTAGTTAGGTGCCATTGAGTTTGATGCAACTCCTGGTGGCTGCATAGACAAACATTCTTCATCTTGTACTGTATTTAGTTGTAATTCACAGTTCTTTGAAGGATGTTTCTTTGATCCCATTCATCCATCTTATCTGCCATCTTCCCCCTTTTAAGTGCTAAATTAAAGAGTTCAACTACTGAAATTGATTGATTGCTCATGGGCCAATAAGTCAGTGTCAACTCTTACTGACCGCATAGAATCATTATCTCCAGGAGGATTTATTCCCAACCTGGTCCTTCAGTTCTTAACTACTGAAATGGACAATCCAAAATAATAAACCATATTACTTAGCTTCAGTGTATGATACATTACTAAACAGTTTGCAGTCATATGGTAT